TCGAAACAATGCACGAGTGAAAAGTGCAGGTCGTGTTATGCAGGAAGCATCGGATGACTGAGTGCTTGTGCACAGTCATTCAATGTCATTTCGACAACTCAATTCAAGCAATGTAGTAATGTACACTGTACATTGTACAGCTTCTGGCCAAACGGGGTAATGTTTGTCGAGCACACGACGTGGATTCCACGAAAAGGAAAATATATACGTTTGTCTACATTGAAAAACACATAAATAAAGTAGACAAAAATTTGCTCGGGGAAATATATCAATTTAATGCACGTCTTGTTCCTCGAATCATAAACATTTCTTCTGTTCTTCTTTTTCATCTCTTCGAACGAATGACGAAAAATATCGTCGCAGTATATGGTGGTATTTGTAAATATTTACAGTAAAGAAATGGTGAAATCATAAAAAATCGAATCACAATCGTAAATAGAATGAGTTTCTGGTATTAAACGCAAAAGCAGTTTCCAAAAATCTCGGTAATGCGCTCACTCTCGACAGTCTAATAATTTCATGACATTTTCAGTGATGCATACTCAAAAACGGGAAAAAAAGGTGTCGATGTGTTTTTTTTTCTGTGTAGTATTATTAATGGTACTTCACCACCAATTGTAAACATATTACGACGGATTCTGAACCGATTTCCCCGGAGAATAGACCGAAAATGATTCGGTGGTTCTTTCATTCGGATGGACGACGACGACGACGACGACAAGGTTAATAGAGTACAGGCTAATCAAAATGCAATTCTCGGAGACGGAACTCGCTATCACATCTCATTATCATTTGAAGTGAAGCATCAAAAATGCGACGAAGTAGGAAAAAGTTTACGATCATCATTTAAGTTCATTCGAAATTATCTCATTTTATACGATTGTGTCTCTGTCTGGGCGCTCTTGGGTTACCATCATATTGTTCACATGTTGGTCGTCGAGAGTAAGACAAAGTGCTTGTTCTCCATTCGTCTCATTCCTTGTCAGTGGCGATGGCAATGATGGTGGTGGTGCATCAGTTTGCAATAATAACCATAAAAAATAAGAAGAATGTACCAAATGTTCGTCCGGAGAGCAAGGCAAAGAAAGGAGAAAGAGAAAAAAAAACAGAAGCGAATGCGCGACTGTTGCATAGTGAACGTAGGAGAAAAAAACCAATTTAGATTATCAGTGAAATGAAAATGTTTATACAATTCTAAGAAAGGCCACCGGATGGAGATATGGTGAGAGATAGACGAAACGAATCATAAAGACCGACAGCGATGAGTCTTGGGGAATATTGTAATGCATTATGTGAATTTCCTTAGCGTCCATCGTACGAATCCTTTATAATTCTTCTTCGTTTCCGTTGCTTCTCATTACAATTTGGAATTGTCTCCGTTACTCTTTCGCTCTCGCTCTCTTCCCTTCGTTTGGCTTGGGAGTATATGTGTGCATTGAAAATGGCGTTTCGCAACACTTAGCTTTATTAAAAGCACTTTTTCCCGTTTAACGCAGTTCAAGAATATTTGCTCGTTATGAGAGAATCGAAATGAAGCGCCCGGCTATGCACAGAGAAAGACATATACAAATATGTGAACAGTGCTGATGCGAGTGGTGGCAAATAGTGAATCAGACAAGACGAATGCCGACAGACAATATATGTATACAGAGAGAGGGAGAGAGCGAGCCAACATCTAAATGAATTCTGTTTGTGCAATAAACTTGGTCGTTGATGGAGGAGACGAAAGCGTGCGATAACACTTACATGCACAAGCTCGTAACACTTATAGCTCATAGCAAAACTACACACATCGCAATGATGTTGCAAGAAAATGGAGCGGACACTCAGAACGAGCGAGTGAAAAAAATAACATGAAAATTAAACGAAATGTTAAAAGAGGGAGAAAACGGAGCAAGAGAGGAAAAAAAGCATCTCATATAAAATAAGAACGGAGAAGAAGAAAAAAAACACATCAACTTTTTGTTCGTTGTTCGCATTTCGCATCTATTGCGAATTTAATTCAAAAATGGCGAAAATGAATATAAAAACATACTAAAAATGAAAGTTTCAGTTTTCTTTTGTTTGGAAGTTTGGGTTGAGCTGTGCTGATGTGTGTGTGTGTGTGTGTGTGCGTGTGCAGCAGTGTCGCCTTGACTCACTCCTTTGCTTGCATCGCATTCAATTTGCTCGGTAGAATGCTGTGCCTTTATTCGCAATATATTCATTGTTGTACAATCGAAACTCACATTCGCTTCATAATATTCCATTTGTGTTTACCCATCGGTTGTGTGTGTATGTGCCTTTTTTCTTCTCTTGATGGGTTTATTTTCTTCATTATTTTTTCCCTCTCGTCGTTGTTGTTGTTGCCTTAAGATAAAGGTTATGGTGTCCTCCTTTTGTTCGCTTAAATTACTTTCGGCATACATTACACATCTTTCATATCAAAGGGCCACGGGCTTACATGTTCGCATTACTCACTATTTCAACTAATAATGATTCCACTACTCTACTCAATGTAGTTCTTTCTGTCTTCTTCTTCTTCTTCTATCTCGCTTCGGATATTTTAATATGTGTCGTTCATATTAGTGAGAATGCACAGTGAGAGATGAGTATGCATTGCACACGCAACAGCTTCACCGTCAGTGTGTCTCTGCAAGGAATATATAGATTACAGTTTACATAGTGACTTTTATGGCTGCAAGAACATCTTCATTCTCGCTGCAATTTTTCTCGATTTCCATTTGTGCTTTATGTTCATCAACATTCTTTTCTCTTTTCCTCGTGTGAGTGTGCGAATGAGTGAGTGAGCAATGTATGTGAAAGATAGAGTGAGAGAGAGAGAGAGAGAAAGAGAGTTATTGCTCACTCACTTGCTCGATCTTAACTTTATGTTTTTTTTTTCTTCTCTATTCGTTGCAACATTGACTGCGTTCTGCATATTCCGCTGAAAATATATTGCAATGGGAATTTCGCATTGCATGATTTCGCGTTCTCTTATTCTTCGTTCTCATCGTGTTATTTTGAATTCGTTGCGAATGAAAAATGAGTAGCAATGGCTTGCAAAAGGACAGTTGGGGTGATTTCAAATATGGTTGCTCGAGTGTATGGCGAAGGTAAAATTCTAATTTCTTACCCGAAGCGATTCTGTTTTCTTGCCCCATTTCCATTTGCATTTTGGAATTGAATTGTTCTGTAGCAACGAAACATTGTCATTGATGAAAAATGAAGCGCAATTTAAAACAATCAAATCGAAATTGACATGCGTGTTCCCATTTACTCAGCCATAGATCAAATATATTAAATTGCACGAGCTAAACAGTTCATTTCGAGCAATTATAGCTGGAAGTTGCAAGCAAATGCGTGCGTCCACAAAGTAGTTCCGGTAAAAGTGCTGTGGGGATGTTTCACTCGTTATTGTTTCTTTTCCCTGCTTCTTCCGTACAATTCAATTTCATTTTAAATCCGTGAAAGTAAATTGTTCAAGTAATTTCATTGTAATGCATGAATTAAATGCACTAAACGTTAACTTTGAATGCATCCGCTCAACAAAATGCAACGAGCACAAGCGAATAACTACACAAGCACGCACATTTGGTACTCAAGGCAACAAAGCAAACAATTCATTGGGGTGCAATCAAATGCTGGCTTTAACTCGAAATGGTCGAAAATGCAACTAACGTTAAATGAGCGTCTTCATCGTGTCAAGCCAAGTCGATGGACGCGCATTCCAGAAACGAAAAAAGAAGAAGAACGAAGAAAAAAAACTAAGTACAATCTCATCTTCTTAAAAGTTAGAAATAAAAATGCGATTGGATACTAAATGGGATACTACAGTAACTGACATTCGCTGCAATAAAAATGGAATCGCGAAAAATTGCACGACGCAACCAATGAAAACCCATAACAACGAAATTGGAGCATCAAAAGATGTTTGCCGTTACGGCAAAAGGGGATGTGTTTTGTAAATCTTGAGTTGCACAAGGACAGTGTCTTGCACACAATGTTACGAACAAAATGGATTGACTCCGTCCATCAAATGCAATCCATAAAAGTGCGGCAAGTGTGTGTTTGTGTGTATGTGTGAAAGCTCGGACGAATAAAATACAACACAGAACAAAATGCTGTGTTGTGTGCGCGCGCGCGATTCTATGTTGTATTGTGTATGGGCATATTCGTTCTCATAAAAACTACAATGAAAAATTATGAGAACAACTCTTAGCAGCGAATCCGGCCGGACAAAACCGTGAACAATATTCTTTTATATTTTTACATTTGGATTGTTATATCTAGCGATAATAAAGATATAAAATCACAAAATAGCGACAAAGTCATCTCACGATGGATTGCGCAATAAGAGAAAAAAACACGACAACCACCACCACCACCATCACAATAACAGCCAACAACTTTAGGGATAAAGACGAGATAGAAAAAAGAGAGAAAACAAAATACACACGTCACAATTTCACTGAATCCAATGCTAATCGCTTTACATGTGTTTCGTCGTTGATTGGCAATTTCAGCACTTATTGCAAATGATAACATACCACAAATGAGCAAGCCGAACCAATCCTCTAAAAGCCAAAATAAAAAACAAACACATCGAAAATCGTGCAATTTTCCAACTGATTTGATCGAGAAGGATCATAGAAACGATTCCGGCCTCAAAGTATCCCACGATTACAGATATAGAAAACTAATCAAAAATGAATAAAATTGTCTCGTATTTCTCTGCTGTCGTTGTTGTTCTGTTTTTACTTGCCATTTCAACTATTACGATTATTATTATGGTTGTGTGAATTTCAGTTGTCAACATCAATTCTCCCATTTCGAAATAATGCGGGTGGGTCATGTGTCCACAAAATGCGTTTTTTTTTGTTTGTTCTTGTCTCAGTGGTCTTGTTCGTTGTTGTTGTCTTTTTTTTATTTGTCTTGACGTTGTTCTACTCAGTACACTTAAGCGACTGAAAACAAGAGCGGAGGGAATAAAAGAGAGCAAATAGAAACACTGAACTTACCTTGGATGGGTACGTAGATATTCAAATAAAGACAATCTTCAGATTGATTTTGCAGGTATGGCAAAAGCCGACGTAAATACTCCAAACGACCTTTTGGCATTTTCTCCAGCGCAGCCGTTTCGTTGGCAATATTTGGTAATCGTTGCGGACAGACGGGACCGAATCTATAAAAAAAAGGTAAGAAAAAATGTTGAGTAAGAAAAAAATTGCCTTAGGAAACATTTGAAATAGATATATATCGGTTGAAGGACTTGTTAAAACTACCTATACCTTGTGTCGAACAACACACTTCATTGCGATTGAAAATGTGTAAATTCATGGCTTTTATTTTAACCTAACCTTTGCCGTTATTGTAAGATTCAATAAACACACAGCCACTCTAGTTTAGTTCCAACTCCACCTCAATACAAACCTTACCACTAGTATCACAACTTGAATCAAAATGGAACGTGGAAAATGTGTACTTCAGTAAAAAAAACCAGCACTCGAATTAAAAAATATGCCACCTGATGTTACACACAAAAGTCCTTCAGAGAAATGACATTAAATGAAGGGGAAAAAAGTGTATGAGCTAAATCATCATCAACGGTGCAAAAAACCACTTGAAATGGACGTGTACTGCAAAGAAAAATGGGACATGTTCAACAATTAAGCAATGAGTTTTTGTGTGTTGCTATTCAACGGATGGTCATTTATTCGGTTTGGAGCCTGTGATTCTATCACGTTATCTCGACCGTTTGCCATCCATCAACCCCACTGTTATCTGTACGCCACTAATTTTCCATGCAAACCATTTGCCATCCGTAATATTTTTTTTACACCTTGTTCACCGAAACAAGACCCAAATTTCGACAAATTAAAAATGGAAGAAGATAGACTTAGAGCTGCACGTACATATAAATCTAGTCAGATGTCAGCTTAAATAATATGCACAATAAAGAAAAGGAAACGGTGTGTTCATGTTGGACGGAAATGAGTTGATTATCTAATTTGCCCGCCAGTGATTTAAGTGCCTTTTTGACTGAAGCGAAAATCCGGTCGATGCAACAAAATTCCGTAGAAAACTTGTGGATTTTTTAAGTGCTTTCGTGTAAAAGATATCGACATCTAGCAGGTCTATACCATCTTTATTATTGCCACATTGAAACCGCTACATTAGGACTATGTAATATTTTCCATCGAAATGTCAATTTGGTGTTAATTCAATTTAGCAACATCATTGCTTCTTTTCATCATAGAATCGAATCTTGCATCCAACGGAATCTTCTTTTTCTCCTCAACTGTTCGCCGCCCAGAGCGAAATCAATTTAATAAGTGTGCCATGCTTAAACTGCAAATATAATTAAATAAACAGAGATAGCGAACGGCATTGTCGACTTCACCGCACACAATATGCCAAATTGGAAGGAATGAAGACAAGCCAAAGATGAAATAAATCGAGTGCGACGCATATGCTATGAAGTTTCTGAGGAGGAGAGCAAGAGGTGTATGCCCACAACGAATGAGTCGATGTAACACAGTAAACACAATGAATCCATTTGCTGGTGAAAATTCTGTTATTCCACATTTTACCGTTGTGCCGTCTTTCGCTCTCTTATTGATTTTCGTTATGCTTTTATGCATCAATGTGATGATTTTTTGTTCGCTTACTACTCAGACTTGGTGTGCGGATGTGCTCGGCTATGGAAAACGATTTCAACCATTCTTGTTCAAGCACTATTGTGTGATGAATCGCTACAAGTACCAGGAAAGGAGATTGAGAGAGAGAGAGAGAGAGAGAGAGAGAGAGAGAGAGAGAGAGAGAGAACGACGAGTCGAGGAAGTGAAGTCGAGTATGTGTGCGCTGATCCAATATTTTTATTGAGGTTTCACGCTAAAGTATTCATTGATACCAACTTCAAAATCGATATTGGCAAATTGAAATTACCAACGTACGCGTGCTATCTCAATCTTTGGCCACACATTTCAATGTAATTGTGTGCATATTTGTGTGGTATACAATGTTCGTCTCCATTCTCTCTTCGCACAGCACAGAACAACAACATCAATTCACAATAATTTCACTTCGGCAGCCAGAGACTTTGTTCTAAAAATGGTTATTTCGATTAATAATCATAAATTTACGATTGACGTGAATTGTCTACTTCGCAACAGTGGCGCACGCGAGTAGTAAGGTTTATATTTCCATCGAAACAAAATGAATTCGTCAATATTTTATGTGTGCTATTTTCGATGATTGAATTTCGTGCATTCACATATTTTCCATCACTTACAAAATTCCCCAAGTTTCCTTTGATTCAAAAAGGTTATCTTTTGCAACGCAGCACTGTGCGCATACAGCTCACAACACACACATCATATTATTATTTGAAGAATTGATTTTCAAGCGTCAAAAGCGTGTGTGACTGTGCACACCGACATTTATATACGTACTATAGCAAATATTCAGTTCAAGAGATCTGACGAAGCGTAACATACAACTGTTTTGGAATCCAACTCGAAATAATCAAATCATAACAATCTTCAAATGCGAACAACGACAAATGTGCGTATTGACTGTAAAAATTTGCAAAATATTTCTGCCGAGAACACACATGGATCAAATTATACCAACACACACACACACACAAACACACACACACACACGTACACAAACGTGAACGAGAACGAAACGAAAAAAAACAAACGAAAAGAAGAGCAATGGAACAGAAACGAAATGAAAAAAACAAACAGAAACACGATGACTTCGAAATAGGATCGCGTGAACAAATAACAAAATGATGATTTACTTTACATTGTTCTATTTTTCATTTTTAGGCCTGCACGCTCACACTCTCTGTGTATTTTTGTGTAATTTATTTATTGATTGTGAATTCCACTTCAGTGTTGTGTCATTTATATGCGTTAACGTCATTTTATTTCGATTGGCTGCTTTTGCCATTGTTGCTGTTGTCGCTGGAAATTGGATGTGAATGTGTTTACTATACAAATCGTGACAATTTGACCTATGTCGTTTCGTACACACGCTGCAATCGACAATGCCGAAATTGAGTTAATCTAGAACAGAGCAAAGCCAAAAATTGTTGATTTAACAACAAACATGCCGCTCAATTCCATTTTCGAGAACACACACACTTTCTGAATGATTCATTATACTTGTATGGCATATTCGTGTCGAATTTATTTATATTGAAAGATGTATTTGATCGAGGGCAACAGAGAGAGAGAGAGAGAGAGAGAGAGAGAGAGAGAGAGAGAGAATGAAAATATTTCGTAAATGACATTGACAAATCTTCGCTCATTTTGAAAATAAACTTCGCAACAAATGAGAAAATTTCAATTCCAATCTTTTTTTCTATTTCACTTTGTCAACTGGCACACATTCCATAATTCGATGTCCAGGAAATATTTTAAATGGTCAGGTAAACATTGGGGAAAAAAGAGAACAAGAATAGGGATTTATTGCCTATTAGGATTTCGATTTAATGCGAGGCGGTGACATCAGATCGATTGCAGATAAAATACCTTATGGGAATCCAATATAAAAATTGTGTGCCAGTGCGACGACAAGGGCAAGAGAGAGAAAAATCGATCCAATTTCACAACGAATTTACTCGGAAAATATGATCGAGAACTATTATTTGTTTCTATCTCTCCCTCGCAACCCCGATCAAGTAGCACAGACAAATTTCACACTCGTTTGTGTACTGCCAGCACAATGAAATGTAATATGGTCATAGGTTCTGACATAGTCTGATCTCGTTGATCCTGACCCCCCCTGGAAAAATTTGACCCCCACTAGATAGAATCGATTTTCGAAAGTGAGGACCTTTTTTTTTTTTTGCTCTTCAAATTCGAAATTGCGGATCACCCCCCCCCCCCCGGTCAGCAATTTTTTTCGGGAAGAAATTTACACTAGATAGAATTGATTTTTTTGACCCCCCCTTGAATTTTTGGCTTGACCCCCCCCTGAATTTTTTGGTGTCAGAACCTATGAATATGGTTGTGTGTCATTTCGTTTTCCTCACACTCACAATAAAATAAATGAAAGGGCTTCCAATGAAATAGTAAACTGCATAATTCCGAATTTCTCTCTCACACTCACTCACTCCGGCGGCAAACAAAAATAAACGAATAAACTGAGTCTATTTATTTTATGCACTGTTGCTGCTTCTTTTCCGTGCAATAGCAATACGAGCGCATGGTGTTTTCCATTTCGAATTTCTCTCGGTTCCGTCTACTTTTTTTTCCTCTTCTTTCTGTGCTCTGGCAACGAAATTTCCCCGTTGAGCAACTATGTGTGATCAATAAATTCGTCCGGTTTATCCGATTTTGTCAACATACTTCCTAATGGCTTCGCTTTTTTTCTGCCCGACTTTTCTCCTCCCCATTTTCTCTTGTTATTCTTTCCTTTCGTGTGTTTCACCGAGAACAATTTTTCCTACCTCTAAAACCTCTTGTAAATTCGTTTTCCCCTTGCCATTAGTGCTTTAACGGATTCCTGTTTGTTATTCCAATCGATGGTGTTTGTAAACACAAGTACACTATATCTTTCTCTGTGTGCGTCCCTTGTCGATACACCCTACGTTCCGATGCGACAATCGAGACACAGCGAGAGCGATTCGGTATATCTTTTTGTCGTTCATTGTTTCTTTCAAGTTTATTTAGTTGACGAAATTTGGTCTTCAATTTCTTTGTGTGTGAGTGTGTGAGTGTGAGTTGGTGTGCAAAACTCATTCACATGCTGAAATCGGATTTTCGCTACACGTTTTAGGATTTCTTGCTCCTTTTACTTTTTCTCCTTTGTCTATTTATCCTCAGGTAGTCGACAGCAATCGGGCTACGAATTCAATTTGAACCCATTTTCATTGGATTCTGGAAACTTTGTTGTTGTTTCGATTGTCGTTTCTTCTGAGTTTTGTTTTTTTTTCAGTTTTTGCACTAGATTTGGAATTGCCGCAAGGGACATGTAGTGATTTTCGTATGCCTTGCACAACTCAGATTTTTTTGTTGGGATTCCATTAGCTTGGGTAAAGCCAATGGAAAAATTGAACTTTTGCAAAAGTGTAATCGAAAGGACAATTTTTAATTATAAATGGGAATATATGCGATTGCGGGCCTGGCTCATCAATCGAAATCCCAATTTGAATTCGATGAGTGTCAA